CTCTGGTTCCGGAGTTAAGTGCTAGGTTGGACTTGATGTACTGAGTCCGGCCACGAACCAAACCAAGGCACAGTCCTGATCCAGTATGCAGCTGGGAAGAGGGTCCCCACAGGTCCAGAAATCAATAGGGAGGGAGGGAGAAGAGAGAAAATGGTGGCAAATTGGTGGCAGTGTTAAACTGCCATGACTCCTAGAGCCACAACAACTAATGCTGCCATCACTCTGACCCTCTTCCCCCACAGTTGTCTAGACCTGTAGGGAGTCTTTTTCCTCACATATAGTGTACACCCCAATTTTCCCCAGATGTTTTTTGGGGAAAATGTGCTAGAAAATATATTTATTTATCAAAGGACAGAATGTGTACTTAATGGTTTATTTTTTTCTATCAATTCTTGATGTATAAAGCTGTAGCCTAGGGGCCAGATTCCAGTCCATCAGCTAGGCACATAAGTGGACCTGAGTCTTCAATGGCTGTTCAGTCCTTAAAAAGAGTTAATACAAAAAGGTAGGTGACTTCTCTTTGCTGCTTTTATGCAACTCATGAGTCAAACATTAGATTACAGTGTTTCAAAAGCAGATATATTAACACACTGTTGGGACTTGGATGGGGTGGAAGGGAATTGCACTTAAGCACCCAAGTCTAATTAGGTGCCTAAGAGCTGGACTAGACTCTAGCCCCAGGTATTATCCTGAATGCAAATCCCAATAATTTACCTTCCTTAAGGACAACCCTGTAGAGAAAACAAACAAATATTTATTTTAAAATACTCTTTCCCAATGAAATTCCTCACTAAAATTGTCACAGTTAATTTTGTAAGAGAAAGTCAACTAAAAATTAGAAATCATATTTTCTAAAGCAGGAACACCCAACCACAGCTCTTGAGTGGCTCTTTAAAGAAAAGATTAGCATTTTTTATACTGTATGTATTGGATAGGTCTTTTCCTGGAATCCTGAATAAACACAGCACACCCAATCCTCTTTTTAACAGGAGCGAGTCTGCCACAATTCACCTCAGCAGAATTCTTTGCTGGGCACCAATCACTCACGTAGCTCCTGAGCCAGCCAAGGATTGAATGTCACAGCTCTGGGGTAGGGATGTCAGACCTACAACTCATGGGCTGGATCTGGTCTGCAGAGGTGGGCCAATATGGATTCAGTCAGCAGGGCTTCTCGCCATGGCTCCCAGAGCCACTGTGCCAGCACAGCCAGCACTCAGTGGGGTTAAAAGCTGCCTCTGTGTTTATCTGCCAAATTTGTCTTTCAATCCCTGTTTGGCATGGAAATCAGTGCTAACATGGCAGGGGTGCTAACCTCAGCCAAAAACCCTGCGAGTCCAAATGCAACCTGTCAACTCAAATGTGTTTGACGTCCCTAATCTAAAAGAATGTATGGGAAAAAAAAGTGGTCAAATGCCTAAGTAGCATGTTTCACTTCTTCATTTCTATGCTCTACCTCACATCTATTCAATTAAAACAGACAAACAAGTAGCAGCACTTGTAGGTTTGCAAGAGTTAATTTTTGACAATGTAAGCCCCAAGCTCTTCACCACCAACTTGTCTTGGCTATTTGTCTGTAAAACGCACTGTTACAGTTACCCTCGAAACAGATGACTTCAGGGCTCTGCCATGCTCTCCAACTACTCTGTTGCCTTCACCTTCCCTCTTCATTGGAAAAATATTTGTGTCAGGGCTCTATAGTATGTAAACTTCCTTCTATTTTATACCCGATTCATATAATATTAAAAGTCTCCAGTCCGAACAGGGACAAGTAAAATGGTCAACAAGTTGAAAAGAACATGAACACAAGAAAAGTCCTCTGTAGCACCCTTTCCACACAAAAGAGCAGACATTAACATATGCAGCCAAACTGTCACTTCATGGCTTTTCCCTTTTACTTTAGCCCTAAATTGAGGATATGGAAAATGATGCACCTCCTTTGTACTCCTACTGTACCTTTTTGTTGTTTTCAGAAGTGGGACTGAGAATTGTAAGTTCTGGTCTACTTGGTTTGGGCTTGGGAGATTCACAGGAGTTAATGAAGTTCATGATGAATGGCTCCAAATGCTGACCTTTCTGAAATTAAACACGCAGAGCAACAATGACAATCAGTTTAAATCTGATACATGTTGCTCCAAAACAAATTCAGTACACAATTAAAGACAGAATTTGAAGTTAAAATGTAGGCTACCTAGAAATGCTATCAACTCACCTCTTTCATCAGCTTCCCTGGAACAGATTTTATCATTTTTCCTAAAATGAAAAACAAACCTTTATTACATGCTCTCATGAATAACAGAGCCGATACCAATTAGCCTTCTCCTTCCTTTTTGTCATACCTAGTTATGCTACAAGTTCTTTGGAACCATGACCTTTTATTATCTGTATGTATGATTTCTTACAATCATTTGTCAAGACTTAAGTTTTAAACAGCAGAAGCACCAATGCAAGAAAACCTGTATTCTGCTACAATTCATCTCCTGCCACATTTTGACAGTCTAAAAAAATAGCTTGTGCCACTGAAGTTTATTGCTTCATTTAAAGTAAAACTCTTTTAAAAAGTAGATATCTGATAATAACCAATTCCTAAACACAAGCAAGTTAAAGAAGTAACTTGCAACTCACTTCAAAAAAGGAACTGGATATATTAGTACTCATAAGTTACAAAAATACAACAAATATCTTAATGAATATAAAAACCAAGTTCTATAGGCTTTCCTCTGCAGTTTTCTAAAGAAGCATGAGGATGTGAACAGCCACACCTCTGGATGTTTGGCACTAAAGTGCAAGAAAAGATGACAGAGGAATCATGGGGATGAGGACATGTAATATATCAAAAAGAACCAAATGGTTCACTGAGTTAAGTCAATAATTGTTATACTTGCATGATTGGGACAAAAAGTTCTTTCAGTTACAGTCACTAACTTGTTGCAACATCTTCCAATACAGGTTTCTCTCAATTTATGCAGGTTCTTTATATGCAAATTTGCTCTTATGTGATAAGCATATTTAGATCCATAATTTGTTATATGCGAGGTAAATTTGCTCTTACGCAATCAGCCTAGATGCCCTGCACCCAAGCAGGTAAGTGCTGTGGGGGGGGAGGGGAAAGGACCGTGGCCCCACTCGCCCCAGTCCTGGCTGCAGAGGCCCTAGGAGCAGCTGGTGCCAGCTGCCTGCAGTTGCTAGGCTGCACCATGCTCCATCTGTGCCCCTGCGCCTGGGATCACCCCAGCTCCTAGACTCAGCCATGCCATGGTGCAGGCAGCTAGTGTTGGCTGCTCCTGGAGCCACTCCAGCACAGGTTCGGATGAGTGCCGACAAGCTGAGCCCCAGGCAGTGTGGGGTGCAGCACTCACCCCAGCCCCGGCTGTAACAGCCCCAGGAGCAGCTGACACTAAATGCCTGCACCAGGATAGGGCAGAGCCCAGGAGCAGAGGTGAGTGGGGACAGGCGGAGCATGGTGCAGCCCAGCGGCTGCTGCAGCCAGGGCTGGGCAACTGCTGCTCTGTTCCCTTTGCTTTGCTGCCCTTAGCTTGCCCTGGGAGCAGCACCCCTCCCCCTGCATCTATCACAAAGGAAAGCTCTAGAATTACTCCCCCACCTCTAATAAAAGGTCAACCAGCAGAAACAGTGTTAAAAATTCAACAGAGTATCCCTGGGAATAAGGGATTCCTGGTATTGGCTGGGCCATAGCCCTACTGGTAACAGAACCCCATTAATCTGGACAACTGAAAGTGCAACAGAACAGTTTAAGGATGCTTTAAAGTGAATATGTGGAGCTTTTTAACACTATAAAATAAAATAGACAAGAAAATTATTGTTGTATAATGACTTTACATTGCAAGGTTATGTAAGCTTTGTGTACAGGTACTTCTCACATCTCTGAAATTAATTCTTGTCTACTAGAAGACTCTTTACTAACTGAAGTTATGTTAGAGGAAGTGACACCCCACCCTGGGACTGGATCAAATGTGTCTATCCAAAAAACCATGATGACAGGACACGTAAACTTGTTTGAATCGTATTAAGTTGTACCAACAGAGGAAAAATCTAGAAAGACTGAATGATGCAGTCAGAACTGCATTATTCAAATGTAGAAAAGTATCCTAAAGCTACAGAATGATACCACTGACACACCATCCTGAATTCAATACAATATTCTTGTTATGCAAGAAACAGCACAACATTAGAAAGAGATCAGAGTCTGGCAACTTCTAAATTAAACTGATTTGATCAACTAACATCTAAAAGTAAATTAAAGACATTCCTCTTATCAACTCTATCCCTCTCCCACCCACCAAACCATGATCTTCAACATCAAATCCGCTCCACTTCAATATTCAGCCTGTCCTCACAATACTCCTTCCTCTCCAGCAGTTACTTAGAGATGTAAATGTCAGATACCTTGTTTTCCAGAATCTAGCTGTGCAGCAGAAAGATCATATTTCCCTTCACACGCAAAAATTACAAAAATTCAGACAGTCAGCACTGACCTCAGTTTAACTGTCTGCATTATGGTGCACCTAACAGTACTACTTACCAAGATATGTGGCAACCATGTTACATACCTAGATTTACATCTGGCAACATTTTATCGAGAAATTGAGTCTCTCCACCATTGGGAGACAGAAAATCTGCCAAAAGCTGGCTGTTACTCAGCTCTGGATGCTGAAGCAGTTTCTTTGAGGGACAAAACAAAAAAGAGTGAGAGAAGTGGATATATAAGAACATGCTTAAAACTGACTTCCCAATTATTTCCCATCAACAAGAGATGCCTAAAACAGTGTATCCTAAAAACTACTTGTCTACCCAATATTTTTAATTCGATGTTTGAAAATTAAACATTTAAAAATTGTACATTAAAAAAGTTTTCGTATCATAGAAAATACACAAATATTTTGTGTGTGGTATTTGAACATAAGCCACTTTTTAGTATACTGAAAGTTACTTGGAACAACTTGGAACAAATTGTATAAGTAAAGTTGTATTAGCCTCATGACTAGGCAATCCAGAAAAATGCAAGAGTAGTTTGTCTTATACCTGTAGATACTCCTGAAACTCCTCCCTCTTTGACTTTAAGAATTCATAGTTCTTTGGGCCAATGATTCTCTTTGAAGGAAGCTGAGCATCAGGAAACGTTCCTGATACGTAAAAAGGAAAAATTATTCAATTCTTCTTTAAAAAAGAAAAACCTGTTTTACTATCTTTAATTGCAGATCAATTTTAAAAACCAAATTACTAGAGCAGGATGGCAACTTCCCTGGGTAAGCTGAACTTACCATGAAATTCTGTTAGCTTAGACTCAAGCACATAAAATTCAAGGTATCTTCTATAGACAGACCAGTGTTCAGGCTCATGCCCAACTGAAGAGATTAAAACAAAAAAAAAAAACATTGGAAGTAAAATCTGTTTCTGTACTTGGGAAAGGGATGAAAAAAAGCAAAAGAGCTCAACACAGCAAGCAGGGGTACACCGATAGAGGTTTTTTTGAGTCAATACAGACAACCAATTTTTAATGAGGTATATTGGCCAATACCAATCAGATTACTGATATGCAGCCTGGCAGCTTGGAGAGCAGTGTCAGCTGGTAAGTCTGCTATGGAGAAAGGGGTAGATCAAGGCCCCAGTGGTGAAGGAGGGAGCAGGGCTGGGACTAGGGCTGGGGCAGGGGCCGCACAGCCAAGGCGGAGCTGCAAGCGGCTCCTTCAGGGGTGCGTGAAGGGGGCAGCTCCCACTGCTACATGCACTGTGGGAGGGCATTGGGGGGGGGAGGGGGGAGCATGTGCCCCCAGATCTATATGCAAGGCAAAGGCAGGCTGGGCTCTCTTTCTGGCAGGGGGCCTGGGCCAGAGTTGCACTCGGGGGAGGCAGCACCAGCATGGGGAGAGGGGCTATGAGGGAGGCTGCAGCCACCCCATATTTTGCCATAGGCCCCCCTCCCAGCACCACTACTGCCCACCTCAAGCACAGCCCTGGCCCAACCCCACCATCATGAACAACCTGATGCTGCCTCCGGCCTCAGCCCGCAGTGGTAGCCTGCCCTTGACCCGCGTGCAGACCCAGGGGCATATGCACCCCACACCTTCCCAGGGGGCATGCTCCACCCCCACACACCCCAGACAAGCTGCTCACAGCTCCATTCCATGCCCTGCCCTGGCTGTGCAGTGCCTACCCCCTGCCCTAGCCCCACTCCCTCCCTCACCATGCGGGCCTTGATCTGCTCCCCTATACCCCTCCCCTCACAGACTTACCAGCTGGACTCCGCTGCTCTCCACACTGCCAGGCTGCACTGCTGGCCACCTGCATGCTGTGCTGCAGTTGCACACATGCACAGGGCATTTATCAAAAACATTAAAAATTGGCCACATCAACCAAAAAAGCCAACTGGCAATACCTCCAGTTTTCCTTATATTGGTGCCAATCTGATATGGGACTGATGTATCAGCACCTAACAGCAAGCATATATTAAAGAGGACAGAAAGAAAACTCTTGGTGTTGTTAAGTCCCCAGTATTGCCAGTAATATTCTAATGCATCCGCATCCAGCTACACACCATATTTATTCAAATCCAAGTTTTTCCCCGCCCCCCCTATAAAACATGGGGAAGTACCCCTCTCCTTGGATTCCAGCAGCAGGAGGCAGGCTGCTGTGGCTCCAGCTCTAGCCTCAACCAAGGGTCAGGTTTGGGGCTGCAGCTGTTGCCTGTCTTCCCCAGTGCCTCAGTTATACCCCCCCACCCACATCTCTTCCTCCCCTCACAGCCTCAGCCTCTGCCCCTTCCACTCATCCCCACCACCCTGCAGCATGCATTTGCTCCAGCTCCAGCCAGGCCAACTAGTAACAGCAGCAGTGCCAGAGCTGACATGCCACCACCACTGTTAAGGGGCTGGAGGAAACACATGCTCCTTGCCCCAGACTGCAGCACTGAATGAGCCTGCTGGAGCCAGAGTAAGAGTAAATGGCGAGGGAGGTGGAGGACAGGCAGGCAGGCAAGGGGCACAAGTGGTAGTAGCAGACAGGCAGCAGGGGACAATGATCAACCCGTTTGCCCCCACCAGCCCTCCAATTTGAATCCTATTTTAAATTCAGAGTCATCTTGAATAAAAGTAAATATGGTTCATGACTTAGTGTTAAGTCACAGAAGCACAGCACATGGTATAGGATACCAGAAGCACATGGTATTTGAACATACCATTATAGATGGAAATTTCTGCGATGAAAGCTGAAGCCTTGCTAATCCTCTCCTTTTGAAGATGCCTAAAAGGGTGCTGTACCAACAGGTGTTTGTAAAAGTACCATATTGTGGCACAAAGCTGATGTTTTCAACTGACATTAAGGCACACCCACATTCTCAAGGACTTAATTTGCTAGACATTAGTCTGAAGACAAAACATGCATCCACAGCACATCAAGGCAGCGAGCTGAATCTACCACACTAGCTTTGAAGTAATACTTTATTTACAAGGATTCCTACCTGCCCTTCTATCATTTCTTTCTACATCAATACAAAATACAGGAATCCTCTCTTTTCTCTCTCTCCTTTCAACAGAGGGATCATCAAAGAAGTCCACATACGGAATGCTAATCTTCCAAGCAGCAAGGTTACGAGGTGTATTAGGGGTACTAATGGCCTCCACAGGAGAATCATCTTCCATAACCACAATTCCTTCTTCAATCTGCAGCAAAGGATTGAAACATCAAGACCTCTTGTTCATTATTTGTTAGTTCAGTTAAACTTGGCAAAGCATTCAGAGGTCACTGTAAATACAACTTCAGTCTTCACATATGAAATACACGAGAATCAAAAAACAACTATAAAAAAAAATCTTTTTTTCAGGAAAGGAAAGTATTTGCCTGTTTTTAGACTTTCTGGAAAAAAAATCTCTAGACTTGACGGTTCATTTAAATTTAAAAACCATTAACGGAATTTGTCTGGTGTCATTTAACCAGATTACTGAGCTACGACTATGCTCCTGGCAAAGGGTGAAAGGTATGCTATGTTCTAAGGCATCAAGTTTTGTAGACCTGTAACTCCTGGAAAAATTAAAAGGCCATACCAATGGCTATACATCGTACCACTCTGGTGATTAGTCTCTTCAACCATTGTCAAACAGAATCATAGTCCTCTGCATGGCATAAGCATTAGAGCATGAGCAAAAGGAATGAAGGAAAAAAAAAATCAGATAGAGTATTTCCACAGGTGAATGAGATGGACAACTTAAAACAAAATCAACTTGTTTCTTATCCAGGTTTAGGATTCTAAAAGTAATGAAGCAAAATTTGTGGGGAGATTAGAGCCAGCTGGGACCATCATTACCAAACATAAACAAAGGGTTCTGATAAGGGTCAGGTAAAGCTGCCTGAAACTGTTTGTTGCTGTTAGGCAGCAGTATCAACTGGATTGCTTTCCTGAATAAGGAGCCAAATCCAATCCCTGTTGATAGGCAGGTTTGGTCATGGTTTGTCCCTTGTTCTGTACTTGAAAAACCAAGAGGAATGGCGAGTGAGAAAGCCAGGAGGCAGCAAGATACATGAGCTTGCTTACAGTTCAGCTGAAACTAGTGCATGTACTTCTCACCATACCTTACAAATAGAATTAATCTTGATTTTAAATATAGTTGGAGCTTAAGAGTTAGCCATCTTAGAAGTCACATACAGATCACTGTGTCAATCCCCACTTTGTAAAATTAAAAAAAAGGAACTTCAGTTTAAGAGCCCACTGACAGGTGAAGAATACACAATGCAAGTGAACATAAAAAAAATCAAGCACCTTCCCATTCAAATTATTTTCCTGTGACTTCAGAATTTCAAGTTAATCAACTCATCCTGATCAAATTTTTATCCCAAGCTGCTTGGAAAGTTCTGCAAAGACTAGGAGAATTTAACCAACCAACAACCTGCAAAAGTATCCCAGCATTCTTGAAAGCATCTCAGGGTTGGGTTGCTATTCCAGTTCCTGCTTTTTTTTCTTTTAATTAAGAGCAGAGACAAAAAGGGGATTAGGCGACCCATTTTGGCTTTATGCACTAATACAGTCAAAGTGTCATGGATATGCTGCACCAAAAAAACCAATAAATGACTGTTGGGTATTTATGCAGATGCATTCGGCCTCTCACCCTTGCATGTCTCTTAAAGCTGCCCTAAACAGATCAAGGTGTGAGCCATCATCTTTCGTCACTAACAGCTATTACTTGAGGTACACCGATATACTGGTCCATATCAGACCAGCACCAATAAGTGGAAAATTGACATTATTGGCAATCAGCTTTTTTTCAGCCAATGTAGCCAATAATGTCATCGATAAATGTTGCATGCATGTGCACAGCCGCAGCATGCACATTGCCAGGAGTGCAGCCCAGAAGCTTGGAGAGCAGCATCTGGCCAGTAAGTCTGTTGGTGGAAAGGGGCAGTGCAGGACAGAACCATGGGCAGCTGCCTGCCACTGTGCACACCCTCAGGGGAGGCTTGGGGGGCATGTGCCCCCTTGATTTGTGCATGAGGCTAGGGCAAGCTGCCCACTGTGGGCTCTGTGGGCCTCTTCCCGGAGACAGGGGATGGGCTGGGGCAGGGCTGGGAGGGGGCACTACAGCAAATTTTGGAGTGGCTGTAGTCCATCCTGTAGCCCTGCTCCTGGCACTGCCACCACCCTCCCTGAGTCCAGACCCCGCCCCCACCTGGAACAGACTGAGGCAGCCCACCCCTGCCCTGCACACAAGTGTCTGAATTCCACCCTGCTGTGCTTTTACCTTCAAGAGTCCTCATTTCAACAGCTCTATTTATATTTCCAACCTATTAAAAAAGCAATTCTGATTTTAAAAGGGCAATTGTTAGAGAGAGAACAAACAGAAAAGCAAGTTATACACTT